GTCATAGCCATAGTAACATCCATTTGTATACAGTAACATTCACAGTAACATTCATTTTCCAATTAATATCATCATTAGTAACATCATTTGAATATAGTAACATTGATCACAAATTTAACATTGTCATGCAATTAAGCAATTGTTAAAAATAATTTAAATACCTGATCAGCTGTTATATCGGACAGTGTGTTTTGTGAGAGGGTCGCCCAAAGTTTTCTTAAGTCTCATTTCATCTATCGTGGGAATGCATCCGCCTCAGCTACAATAAGAGACGTGTGTTCACATATCCAGTACTGCAATTTAAACATAGTTACATTATATAGAACATATAGTTTTTAATGAAAAAATCAAATAAATTATCAATCTAAAACTTACAGGTAACAGTAATACACAACCGGTTACTGCACTCGGTGTTTCAAACTTCAACCGTATGGAATTCATCATCACATCAATAGTTTCTTGACACTAGTCATATATTTTTTATTTCATCCAGATTTTCTATGTACGACACATATCCCCATCCAATTGTTTGGCCCATATTTGTAATTAGTAGTGTCACTAAGACATACAAAGAGAACCACCTAGCAAAATCTTCACAATCATTCTTACCAACACCTGTTGTTGCCTCCTCCAGCCTGATTTTTATAATTGGTGCATTCAACCTTTTGGTGTTACTGAATCTCCTTTTAACAAATAGTGAATTTTTTTTTGCACTTTGGGGGAAAAGAATTGGATCGACACTATCTTCTATACCAAAAATTAGTGTTACATCGGTCTTCCGTATCTTCAGACCTTTTCCACCAATATGGATTCTTGATGTTTCACCATTAAACATTGTAATTATGTCCACAATACTATTGTCATTCTTTTTGAACCATTCTTTATCCACTTCAGTTGTTGATATTGTGTTAAACAGATGCCAAAAATGATGTTCTCTTTAGTTGTTCTCTGTGATGTTTAGGTCAGTTATAACCTTCACCAATTGAAGCAAATTAGACCGAAATTGGTGAAATGCAGTTGTTTTTGGAGCAATAAATTTATCTTTTTTAGCCATCAACAAATAACATGACATTTGAATATTAATGGATGAACAACATACAATAACATTATATTAATAACATGAGAATGAAGAATGATCATGTTACACAGTAACAAGATATTAGTAACATGGTCATAGTAACATTATTTTCTTAACTGCAATCCAATGAGAAAGAAAGCAGTTGAATTGAAGATTGCAAAATGAAGATTGCAATCATTTCAAATAGTAACATACAAGTAACATCAATTTTGGTTTATACACTATCAAATGTAAAGATTGAGCTATATATAATGTAACATAGAGCTTTAATTCTAAACAAAAAATACAAAAGATTGTGATCATTAACACGTTCACAGTAACATCAATTCACAATAACATCGAAATTAACAACAATTTTTCTAACAAACATACTAAAACTACGATCGACACATTGCAATGATTATAAGTTTTGCACTAATAACCCATCAAGTAGCTACCAGTGACTAACACTTTTATTAGGGATATCAACCTATAACAATAACATCAAAACATTTGGAATTCTCAAACCCATATTGTTGCTCACACACAGTAACATGTATTTTCACAGTCACAAAATCAATTACTAATCTATTGTATATAACACCAAAGAAATCAACAAAATAGAAATCAATACCATTTTTAATTTGTAATAATGAATCACATTTTTTAATATAGGAATCTAAAACAAATAACATCAAATTTACTACAACTTCAATGTTTAATTTTTATTGTAAAATTAATTAATATTAAATTCACTTTAAAATCTTTGAACATCAAAGTTACTGTAAAATCAATAAGCATCAAAGTTTCTGTAAAATCAAAATTACTATAAAATCTACATGCCAAAGACACATCTTGATATTGATAATCCACCAGATACAAGTCTTTATTTACCACAGAAACAAGATCTCTTCAAGCCAATTCATAATCCTAAAAGCAACTGAACTTCCCAAAAATCCAAGATGTAATGTACAAAAAAAATGTCCAGCTCAGATTTCATCCTCTCGTGGGTCCAAACAACTCCCTTCTATATTTACATGTTTACAGTAAATATAGAAGGTTTTGATCAGTAACGTGTTTACACTAACACCAAGATGTTAGTAACATTCACAGTACTCAAACACATCCATTCATTGAAAGTATAAATTTTTTTTTCCAATTATCACATAGTAACCTAAAAAGTTTCAATGTACTCTTAAACCAATGATTTTTGAATTTCTAGAACAACGAAGAAAGCAACAAAAAATTTAAACATCTAACAGAATGATTAAGTAACAGTAACACGAACAGGTTCATTCCAAATCCCATATTGTGCACAGTAACATCTAAATTCAAAAGATTTGATGTTATTGTCATGAAATAATGACAATACAATGTTAATGGTTGATTTAAGACACTCAATACAAATCAATAACATCAATATATCGACATTAAGATAATAAATTTTTAAAATTGATCTCACAGTAACATTAGAAATTCCAAAAAAACTACACTAATCAATTTTGAATGTATAACACCATGAAATGAAAAACGAAATCATAATACCCAAATCTTTTATATAGTAACAAGAACTCACAATATTATTCTAAATTTTTTTTTTTTTTAAAATTAGATAGTACGAAATACATAGGGTGTAAATGTACTTTTAAAACCCTAAAAGAAACATCAAAGTTCATGTAATATCACATACCTTACAAATTTTTACAGAATCCCAAAGCTTTGTGAAGATTTCAAGAATGTCGAGAACAATTGTAGCCTTTTGTCGAATAAACTTGAAGAGTAACCCCGATTTTTGGTTTTATTGTGTGAAACCAGTTTCAATTTTGAATTGATTCAGTTTGGGTAATGGAGGTTTATGGCTTTTGGAGAAGGAGAATGGGAAATATTTGAGGAATGTTGCCGGATTTGTAGCCTGGAATGAAGGAAGCGGGAGTTACTGGTTGCAAAAAAGATGGAAATTAAAGGGTTCTCCGTCTAAGAAAACAAACAGCAAGTTAAACGACGTTTAGAGTTTTTAAATAAATAAGGGTATAATAGTAAAAATGGTAAAAAATGAACTTCAAACCAAATAAGTTTTCTTGTATGACTTATCTCCAAACAAGTTCATCCAAGAGGACCAGCCTCCAAATTTTTCTATAGTTAATTAAGCTTGATCTATGATTAAACTTGCCTTTCGGGTTTAAAGTGTTGCTTACGTTTGGATTGACAAAAATTTACGAGCATTTGAGCTGAACTATTAATCATCACACACCTTGGGCACATGCCTGTTGAAAATAATTGAGCAATCGGTTTATCGAGGCGTAATAGACAAACCATCACAGAACTATGTATACAAACAAATTGAAATTAATTTTTTTATTTTAGATATTGGTTTCAAATATATTTTTATCAAAACTCACATAATTGAGGCCTCAATAAAATCTTCTGTCCAACCATCCCACTTCTTTCCCTGTTCATTTAAACCCGTTTATTTAGTTTCGACGTGAATGACTTGTTTTTTATTGTACCAAAGAGGGGATTAATCGAGGTACACGTAAGTTGGTTCAGACACCCTTGACGGTTGAATCATAAAATAAAAAACAATTATAGAAATATTAGGCTAAATAATATTGATACCCTCCAATATTTGAACTTGGGCTAAATAATAACAATATGGTTATGTTATTCCAACAAGACATAAAAGAATAATGATATAGTGAGCATTATTTCCACTGATGTTGTCTTTTTCTGATCCTATAAAGTATTTTATTCTACACAGTTTTGAAATTTCCCAAGGTTGGTTTTAAGATCAGACTATAAAGGAATAATTTTTAGGGTTTTTTTGGTGGTTAAGTCTGATCTTTAGTAATTTAATGGTCACAAGTTTAATTTCTTCCCACATTAGCCCCTCTTTTAGGGACATACTCTAACTAACTCAAGTCACAATGATCAACTGCTACGCTCGAAGGAGTAGTCAACATAAATCTGTATATTCTACAGTAAAAAAAAAAATAGAAAGACTATAAAAGGGTAGTTGGATAATATACACAAAATGTTAAGGAAATATCATTATCTTTTATCCTACGCACTAAAGGCAAGTGGACCTCATGTGGGGCATATGAACATAGACGTACGTAACAACGACCTCACGGTTCTAAGCTTCCATGAGAGGGCAACATATACTGGCAGCAGTAGTTGCCTGTCATTTTGAGTACCTACCAAATATCATTTTTTGGTATTATTTTTATTTTTCATCCAAAAAAATGTATCATTTTTCAATTAATAATTACAAATTATTCAAACTAATATCAATGGCTCCGGATCAATTTCGATACAATATTTTTGTGGTACTGTAGCATTCTCCTATCATTTTTCTTTTTTTTTTTTTACCTCAAATGTGCATCCGTTGAGAATGAAGCAGTGAAGCATCAAGCAGAATGTTATGTGAAGCAAGGTGGAAGACCAAAGCACACTAGGGTGACAAGAAAGCCGTAGTTGTTCATGTAGTAAGCTTGCATGGTCGAGATTAACAGTTGGCGTAAATCTCGTCGTCCCCCTCCCTAAATTAGTCTCACTCAAAAAAAGAGAAAAAGTTTACGGGTCTAAAGATGATTCACCAACCTGAAAATGGTCACTCAACCATGTTTTGAATAATGTATTACAACTTCAGATCAACACTATAGGAGCAGCAGATAGGTAGAATTGCTTATAATATGTATCATGTGGATTCGGATTTTCTTCCTGTAAATTTTTTCTCAGTTTTTCTTAATGTTAGATAAAAAACAGTGCACCAAATGTCATCAGAACAAGCCACCCACCATTTAAGGCCAACCATCAAGTCTTGCAGGTTAAAAACACAATTAATAGTATTAACTGAAAACTTGCAGGTGGGAAAATACTCGTCATATAATAGTCACCGGCTTACTGGAAAATGTACAGGAGTGTGGAAAATTACAATATCCCATGACTAAAGATGTGCCTGTGCATGCTCAGGTTTATGAGAATACTCGTAATCAAGATGAACGAAAGCACGCTCGATTTCTGGGAGGAGCTCAAGCTTCTCCTGCAAGGACTCTCCAATGTTGTGAGCCTCTTGCAAGGGCATATCAGCTGGCAGGACAATATCAACCTCAACAAAGTAGTGAGAACCAAAGGTGTAAGCTCGGACAGTGTCTATGTGCCTTATGGCCTTGTGGTGGTTCCAACACAGGTATGTGAGCTTCTGTAAATACTCTGGTGCTGCTGATCTTCCAACAAGGGAGTTCACATTCTCCAACACGGTTAATGACCACGTGCGGATGGTGTATAAGGCCAGCTGCAGCAGGTGAAAGATTAAGGCACAGTTTGGTTAACACTACGCAAATATTCTTATACCAAGTAAAAATGTAACCGTTGCGGTCTTTTTATTGTTAGCTTGTATTAAAAGCACAAAAATTATAGCACACTTCCACAACTGCTTTCCAAAAGTAACATGAGGTATATAAGTAATACAACAGTATCCAAATAAATAACAAAATTGATTTCCTCATATTTACTAGCCAAACTAACAAACCTACCAGAGAAGCTCAGAAGGGTATGGAAAAAAGTCGCTCAAAGTTAAGTAGCATCAACTTTATGCTTGAAAGATTTCTTTGAGGGGAGCTAACATTTTGTAATTTGTAAATGCATAATATATGCAATTTTACTTTTTTTCTGTGGGAACACTAGAATTTTGAGAGATTTTTGTTCTAGAATCTAGTCCATTGTGGTCCAATGTGTTTTACCAGAAGGACTGATCGTTCCAACATTTACCCTTTTCCTTTGCTTAAATTTTTGTTGGGCGAGCACTAAACTTAGTTCTCCTCACTATAAATGCGCCTAGTAAGTACAACCCCGCCATTCCCAAAAAAACTACCCAAAGTAATAAGTACACATATTGAAAAGGGAGGAAGGGGGTGATATGTCTTTTACTTACAATGATAGCTCCAACAGGATCCATCCACTCAGTGATATACTTGGCAAGTAGTACCGCAATCAGTCCAATGATGTTGGTGATAACATCAAAAAAATGATCCTGGGCATAAGCTTTGACTATTTCATTGGTGAAAGCACGGCAATACAAAACCAGCAAAAGTTTTACCATTGTCACAGAGAGCATAATACCAACAACCCACTGCTCTTGCTCCTTGGTCAAGTTGAAATCGTCATCCTGGATAAGGCAATAATGTTCATTTGATTAAACAACAGAGAATGAAAAACATAAAGAAAAGTGAAGAGGATTTTATACTTTTTAATACCACCATCAGTTCCCACAGGCAAGTTTTCAAACAAAGCGAATTCCACACTTGCAAATGAAAACTTAGCATGCTATCTTTGAACTACTATATGTTCACTTACAGCAGATACTAGTGTGCGCAGAGATTCCAAAATTATCTGCAGTCCCAGAGTAGCCATTACGGAGGCAAAAACAAGGATTCCCTGCATATCGTTATCGCCAATTAAGACTCCATTATCCAAATGGCAATACAGAATTCCAAATATACAACTAAGCACAGAAAAATCTGAGAAAATGAACTTAACCAAGAGGCAAAGAATAGAATAACATCAAAGACAACACATAAAAAAGGAAGAAAGAAGAAGGATAGAAGAGAACACAAGAAAAATAACATTAACCAAGAAGTAAACTTGGAGGGGTATTTAAATAAGTAGCCAACATTAAATCCTTGATCCCCTTCAATGATTCTACTCATTCATGAATCACTGAATCAAGATGGATTTAGAAGGCAGCAAATTGGGTTAAGAAGAAGCAGCGAGGTAAAGCACAGCTCCAAAATCAGACCTTATATTTTCTTCAACTACTTTTGTTAGTATACATACAGAAGCTATCTTAGATTTTCCTCAAATAAGAGAAAGAATTGATGGCACAGTTTAGTGAAGACCATAGTGCATATTTGAAAGGAAACTAACCAAAGGCTGCATACGTTTCTTTCCAATAGGATAATGGTACGGGTTTGGTGTTTGCATGGAGAATGCCGTGAACCACAGGATAAAGCCTGACAGAAGATCAAGAAGTGAGTCCAATGTGGAGGCAATGATGGCTAATGAACCACTCCTGATGGATGCATAAACTTTGGCAGCAAAAAGAACCATGTTTGCTATATTAGATAATCTGATGGCAGTTGTCTCACTTCTAGCCAACTTTTCTTCCTCTTCCTGCAACCAAAACACTCACATCTCAGTACAAGGCCTTCCCTTCTGTATCTTTCTGTAGGCGTGAAAAACAAAGAGCTGCTGCTCTTCCATACTCTCTTTTCTTCTATAAGCTGAAATTTCTCATTGGTCAAAATCCATAAAAGCTACAAACCTTGGACATTCCAGGTATAAAACCACGCTCCGATAAGGCATCCATTTCACTGAAACCCTCCAGCATTTCTACTTGCTGCTGATAATACTCGGCCACGTTGTCTTCTTGACCTGCAACCACAGAGAAGCAGTTGAAGTGTTGAACTACGATCTATGCAGTGTCTTCAATAATTTATTCAGGGTATCCTAATAAATGCATTGGATTAAGCCCTCACATCTACATCTCAGCATATTCGATGAATGCATTGCAGAAACATGACCAGAACGTAGAACCTAATATATAAGACTCCAGTAAATATACGACTAGTGCTTCACACATTCAATGTATTGTGTCCAAGCTTAATGAAAACTTGGGGGTTAAATTTACCAAATTCACAGTACTAACACCTTTAAAATATTCAGCAAGCGAATTGAGTTTCAAAGTACTGGTCTATCCCATCTCCAGTCCCTTGAAAGGCTTACACGAGGCTGATGAAATTGATTTCAATTTCTTAAGAGGTATTTCAAATAAACCAGGAATTGATCATGTGGGTACTCAAAAAATCACAAACAAAAGAGTCAACTTTAGCCGGTCTAGGACTATATTAAGTATTAACCACCCCTAGCCATAATTTTTCTCACAAGAACTAAACTTTAAAGCCACAAACGTACGACAGGACAAACAGACCAAAAAAATCCAAAAATAATCTGAGAGTTTGTGGTCACAATTTCCTTTAGGTATATTTGCCTGTTCTGCTCATAAAGCCAAACCCAAATCTTTGGATTTAGAGCTCCAATGCATAACCCATATTTAACAACAAAGATACATACTATTCCTACATAGCAGTCAAGTCCATGACAAGCACATGGAAAATCAAACAAAACCCACAGTAGCCTTTGTCGCTCATAATGACAAGAACCAAACCGGTAGTATTCTTCAATTTCTTTCGCAAATTGGTGCTCATAATTTCATTTGTTCCTCATATTGATTTGACCAGCAAGACATGTCAAATTGCTGTATATTTCTAGACAAAATCAAGGCACAAAAGACCTTTTGAAAACACCAGAAATAGCCTCACTGATACCAAAACAGGAAGTGGGAATGAAAAAAAAGAGCTCATGAAGCACTTCCACTAGAAGAAAAAATTAAAAGCCAAAGAGAATATTGCTAATTCAAGACACTGATTAAAATAAATAAATAAGAATCTAAACAGTCATGAAGGCCAGACTATAGAGCATTAGAAATATTAGGTAGGGTAGAAAAAGACAAACTTACCGAACACCCCAAGACAGTCATGAAGGCCACGAGGAGGCTTCTCTTTGTGCTCGGTTGATAACTGAAAGCCTTCAAAGTTCAAACGCCACGACCGATCACCAGTGCTTGTCTCCGGAAACAGAAGTTCCTCTTCGGAGCCTCCGTGATCGCCGTCGAGAGTCACAGGTTCCACCATTTCCCGGTCACTTATTCGTATAGAGAGGGATAGAGAATGCAAAACAGAGTCCACCGGTAAGAGATGATTATGTAGGCATTTGAGGTAGAAAACGTAAATTGAATGGCAAGTGAAGGGCTTTTTGGGGATACGAACCGTAAGGTTGGCGGTCCCCGATGGCGGAACTGTCCGAATCAAGTGGATGGAAGCTAAAAAATTCTGTGCGATGCAACAACGCGACGTGAGTGATGAAATATCATCGATTAATAATAATATATTATTTATGTATGTAGATATTAAATTTTTAATAATTATTAATTAATATTTAAAATAATATAATTTTACTTATTATATATTAATTAATGATATCACGGTTATAACAAGCCGAAAAATATATTAGGTATAATCGTTATATCATATTAATATTGTTACTTAGTGTAATCATCTATTAATAATTAAATAAATTAACAAATGGAATTTACTAAAATTCATAACCAGATCAGCCTGCCATGTAATATATAATTAACTCTATGATAGAAAATGAGCTTTACTTTAATCTTTCTTTTTTTTTATTGAATTGTTACACTATATTAATAATATTGATATGATATAAAGGTTATACTCAATATTTACTCAACAAAACATTGAGTAAATTTAAACCATTTAGTTAATTTAAACCGTTTAGTTCGACGATTTTCTTACAAAATTGGCCAAATGAACAGGTTTTATTTGGTTCATTTACTCGAACAATTCAATAGCTAAATTGATCCAATTCACCAGGTCAACCCGCTGGGCCAGGCCAATTTTTAAAACACTGGTCTACGGTAATAATATAAGGTAAATTATCAGCCCAATGGGCTCATTTGATAAACGTATAATGAGGAGATTAAATATTAGTTTGTACTATTTTTTTTATTTAATCAGACCTAATACTTTGTTTGATAATCAAATTTGATACTGTATTAATTTTAAAAATGTATATTAATCGTATATTTTTTATATGATAGACCTGTATTATGAAGGTCTTTTAATACCACAAAGAGACGTGATATTATAATTCAATTCAAACGTATTATTCTACACATTTACTATTATAACCCCCAAGTAATAAAATAATGTTGTCATCACTGTAACAAATATTGATTGATAGTATTTTTTTTAATTCAATATTGATACGATATAATTGATTGAATTAAATTAGTATTATTCAACGCATATATTATGTATTATTAAATACTAGATAAAATTATATATTATTTTAATATTATATTATATTTAATTATTTATATTATTTTATTTTATTCAATTCATCTATTTTCAACACGATAACCAAACCGCCTACCGAGTAAAGGGGGTGACAGAGTAAAGGGTTGCAAGTCAAGTGAGCTAACGTGTCTCATGAGTCACATAAAATATTCTATGCTTATAAGGTACCAAGCTGGCACACACAGATGGTACTCAACACCAATGAAAAATTGCCACTTCAATAATGTGTTAACTATCAAAAAGTTTCCAAGTTAGTCATTTAAACAGATTTTTAGACGGAATTTTTTCTGCCGTTATCTCTCTATCTGCTGTCATTTTTTTCTCTCTACTCCGATCACTTTTTTCTCTCTTCTCAACAGAAGATTCAAATTTCCAATCACCCACCCTAATTTTTGAAATTTTGGATTACCACTATAATACAAGTGAACAAACATAATAAAATATTTCAGCATTGTTTTTTTTTTTTTTTTGTGGTTTCTCTCTTCTTTGTCGGTACACCATTTTTACAGCTCTTGTCCATTGAATATTTTTTCTTTCTTTCTTTCTGTTGGAGCTCTCTAGTTCAGGCCTAGATCTATATATGGTTGTGTTTTATTCTAGGTTTTTATAGTTTCACCATAACTCATGCTACCTGTTCCAAAAAGAAAGTATATTCATGGTTGCCGAAATTTTGAGTTGGAGCAGAGCAAGCTGTCAAATTATTTAGGTTTCAAATTTGATTTTAAAATTTGATCCGACGATGAATAAGGTGGGGTTGTAGCATTGGGGATTTCCGTTATTATACGGCTAAGGAGTACGACTGTTCCCACTTATCATAGATTATAAATACGTTCTGAAACTATGTTGGCCACTGGAATACTGACACGTAACATGCTTCGTGGAGTTCTACCACATCTCATCTTGTCCTTGGGATTGTTTGGAATATTTATAAAAGGAGATATGGTTGCTTTGGCAAAGATGAGGTGCTTTCCTGGTTAGTGGGATTTGCTGGTCTGTCAAAAAACACCAGATAATGTTTTTTCCAAGAGGAGATTTTCACTCTTAAAATATTTTTTTGCTAATATATATATATATATATATATATTTTTTTTTTTTTTGACCAATAAAAATATACTACATATTTTTTTTTATATTTTTTTATCAACAATCGGAGATCATTCAAGTTATAATCAACTATCCAAATTATTTTGTCGGTACAACATTCCGCGGCCTTAGTCTTCTTTCGATGTTTAATTCCTCCTCAATAAAAAAGATAAATTACACAAAATGTAATATTGTACTTATTCAAACAAATCTAGACATCGATGAAAGTTTTATTCTTTGAGATTGTAGTTAAACCCTAGACTCATTATTGTGTTAAAAGGTTTAATACAAGACATCTTTTTATGTTCTAATATCATATCAAATATTGAAATCAAATACAATTATGTATGAATAATTAGATTTTGGCCTGATGAGAAAAGATACGAAATTAATCGAACTATTGTGGACAACGGGTCTCTACTAATAATCGATTTTAGACTCTTACAGTGAAGGACAAATAATTAAAAAATGCTCTAAAGCGTGGAGCTTCAAGATGTGATAGGCTAGCGTGCTAGCTTTTTTCCTCTAGTTGCTCCACTAGTTATAACTTGTTAGTGCCCCTATAGAGTATGAGAACTCTATCATAATCTTACGAATTTAAGTTTGACTCTAAGTGAGACATGCCTTCTTTATTTCCTGCTCTTTCTGTTAGCTTAACCAAGTAGCAAGCAGTTTGTTATTGACTTTCGAGTTGGCTAGTTTCGAAATTGATCAATTCACCATTGCAAGCATTGGACAGAGTTTAGAAGAGCTTGTTCTAGAGTGGGGAGGACAATCATTTGTTATATGTTTCTTTTCTTTTCTTTTTTCTTGAAAAACAGTTTCGGCTTAACGATAGTTTCCTTGACTACTTTAATTAAGTTTTCTTTATTGGGTGGCGATATTTTTAAGCAGTGAAAGTCAAGTTCCGATTAGGGGTGGTAATTTTTAATACGATACGATAATTCGATACGAAACATGATACGAATAAATGTGTTTGAGTTGACTAATTTTTTGGCACGACCCGCAAACACGAAGTGTTAATGAGTTGTGTTCGGGTTCAACCCGTTTAACACGAATTGACCCGTCAACATGAGGTTTTTAATTCGAAGGAGATTGACCTGACTTTTTCGTTGCATGTATGAGTTTTCATGTTTTGATGACTTGTTTTTTCTATTATTTCTGATGTTTAATTTGGTTGTATGATGTACGATTAACATATTTAATTAGTATTATATAAATAAAATATTAATTATTTATAATTATTTATCAAACACTGACATAATTATTGTATAAAAGTTAATTTTTTTTAATATTACATGTTAAAATTAGTCCTTTTAGGCTTTTTAACATAGAATTCACCGCAATATTTGCTATCCAACACCACGTGGGATACTATCATGTGATTCGGAAAGCATTATAACTTGGGTTGGGTCGACACTGTGCCGGATCGAAAAAAGGGGCTTTTGCCTTGTAAATTGGACCGGAGAGCCCATCCAAATTGGGCCATAGCCTATGGCCCTTTTGAAGGTCTGCTTATTGGGCCGCTCTAATGGGCTAATTTGTTTCTTTGTAGAAATTTTCTTCCAACTTGATATTCTTTTCTCGAATTTTGGTATAGTACTAGGCTAGTAGGCTGGGCTCCCAGTCCCTGCTGCCAAATTGGGGCGGTACATTTCGGGTTTGTATTAAGTAATAATCAACGCTGATCTAATCTATTTAATTAATCAAGTTGTGTGGTGTCGATTTATTTATTTTTGTGTCATGTTTTTGTTGACTCATATAACCCGTGAATAAAAAAAATTTAATACTCAATTTTATGTCTAAAATTTCATTATCACTTAATCGAACTTATGTTCATATTTTTTTATAAATTAAAAATTAACTTAATAAATATAATAGTAAAAATGAGTAAAAATAATATTTTTTTGTACAAGAATTAAGTCAATACTTGATAAAATAAAATAAAAAATTGACATTTTATATTTATAATACTACTTATATGTGTTAATCATGTCAGATTCGTATTTGACAGTAGCGTAACCTATTTATTATTCGTATTAACAAATCGTGTCATATACGAGTTTCGTGTTTAAAAATGGTAATCCTAACCCACTAATTTTATGTCGATTTCGTGTTATATTTTCGTGTTGTGTCAGAAATTGTCACTCCTACTACTGCCAAGCACTAAAACACGGATTGAGACACTCTCTTTTACTTTGACTCTATTTCACTCAATGATATATCAATAATTCTATATTCAAATATAATTTACTATATATAAATGGATCTCTCACACATACACGGTAAGAATGAAACAATTTCATCACCTATGTGAAGTATATGATATCAGTGTTTACAATTTCGTCGATGGTGATAAATCCAACTCACTGTTTAAAAAGTGGAATAATTGAGGGTGGACTACTTGAGGAATGGTTTAGAAGTGAGAACACGACCCTTTAACTCTTATGTTTGAATCCCATAACTAGTCTTCTAGCTTGTCGTGTACTACGAATGAACGGTTTTCCAACACATAAACATATCTGGTAAGAAAGTCATAGACTAGACCCCCTCAAAATTCTTTGCTAGTTTGAATTCAAGGTATGGATGTTTGACTACAAGGTTTAAAGAGTTCCTTCTTCCACTTGACTTAGAAATTTGAATCCAACATTGGACTTGTTTGACAAGAACGATTTGGAAATTGGAATTACTAGAAATTACAGTTGCATCCAAGCCAGACCAACCCACACGAAGCTTAAAGGTTTCAGATTTTTTTTTTTTGTATATATTCTCTTAGTTTTTTTCAACAGAAGATTAATAGTAGAACCGATAATCGAACAAGCCCAAACGAACTCGAGCCGAGTCTATCGAGCTCATTTTTTTAAAAGAACCTGAAAAATAGTTTAAATTCAACTCGTTTAAAAAATGAGCCGATCTTAAGTATTTACACATAAATGAGTCTATCCTGTCGAGCTCGTTTCCTAAACGAGTCTAAAAAATTGTTCGAGTTTAGATTGTTTAAAAAACGTCTAAATGAGCTCAAAATGAGTCGAACCAGAGTAGAATTCGAGTAATTCGATTCGATTATCAACCTTAATTAATAGTTATGAATTTAAGTAGAATTCATTATATATAGGCGGGTCTTCTACCAATTTACGGTAGGTGATCTATGACCACTATTCATATGAATTGGGTTGTCTAATTTTCTGATATTTTTTCTTGGTTCAACACAATATGAAACTGTTGATATGGTTGACTAAGGAATTTCATAACTAAGAAGCTTCAATGTTTTCATGTGGATGGTTCTCTCCTTGTACTTTGCCAAACAACAAAATCTTTGTAAAAAAAAAATAAATAAAAGATAGTCATGCAACTTGTGTGTTCTAATCAATCTTCAGCATGACTTCATGTTGATTTCATTTGGTCTCCTCTTCGTTCAGATAATATTATCATCAAAATGATGGAGGGGGTGCAATGATAGAATTTGACTACTTTGACAAGTCAATTTCACTTGATGATTTATAAGAATTGATTGCAAACATTATAACAAATAATAAAATAAAAAACTTACACGTATCATAATCTTATTGAACAAAAAATTGAGATATGATATGAAAAATAATAAAATATATTAACGATGATTAGGAAGCGAATTTATTAAAAATGAATTACGTTTCACTTATTTCTAGTGGTTTAATAAAGTTGTAAATTTTAAAAAACGCAATAAAGTATTTCTTAATTTAAAAACAAAAAATCTACTACCAACTCATGTGGTGATTTAACTAGCCAAACAAGAGAAAAAAAATAGTAATTTTTATTGAACTTGGAGAATAAAACATTATTTGAAGCATAAACGATTTTTAAATAAAAATATATTGATGGTGTTTTTATCCATAGGATGACTTATTAGAAATATAAAAAAAAATAAAGCAATTCAATAAATAATGAAAATTTTGTAAGTGAATAAACAAGCAAGTGTTTTATATCTCTCCAAAAAAGAAGAGGATTTGACTCTCTGGTACACATTTTTTTTTAATTTTTTTCTTGACACATTATTCACTATATATTCAAGTGAGATCTATTGTATATAAGTATGTCCCATACTTATTAATAATTGATGATGTGCCAAGAATGGAATTGAAAATAAAATATATGGGAGAGGATTTGAATTTCAAATGAGGTACAATACAAAAATTTATAATTTTTATGAAATAAAATATAAATTTTTTTGGAGTCAAAGCTATAGCTTTTTTAGTATTTGAGATAAATTTTAAGATTGGTCCTAAATATTAGGATCAATCACAAATTTTTAGAATTGAATACAAAAACTCCAAAAAAATATAAAATAATAAGTAATGCCCGAGATCCCAATTGAATTCTAAATGAACGTGGATCCTTGAATCAGTGGGTCTTGTTAATTTTTTTTTAATACCATCCGTTGATCTAATGGTCCAAATTTATTTTGAAATTCAAATTTGAAATTCCTAGCATTATTCAAAAAAAAATTATAAATAAATAAAAATTAAGGAGAATTACACTTAGACTTTATGAGGTTTATCACTTAATTACTCAGATCCTCTGATATTTAAAAAATTACACACATACTCTTAAGGTTTGTACGCATATAATACTGAGACCATTAAACTGAAAAAAAAGATTTTTATTTTTGATTTTATTTTAATAAATGTCAAAACAAAACATGAATTTTAATTATAAAATTTAAAATATTTGATATTTTATTTTTTATTAGAGTATTTTTTATTTAACTATAACATTTTAAATTTAAAATATCTAAGTATTATACGTTTATAAATTTTAGAGGGTTTGAATGTAATTTAACAGATGATATTGACGACAAAGGTCTAAATTTTATGTTCGTATAAATTTTAGAGAGTCTATATATAATATTTTAAATATCAAAGACCTAAATAATTAAGTGACAAATCTAAAAGGATTTGAGGATAATTCTCCTAAAAAATTATACATAGCAACCAAAACTTTTTTGGATACCATAAAAATATAATTCTCCAAAACAAAAAGAAAAAAAAAAGAAGAAACAGTAAATATTCACTTTTATGAGGGCGGGACGTTTCACATGACTTCTCATCTCACATGCCCAGAGGAGAGAGACAGAGAGAGACACGCACACACACACACACACAGAAATCTGCAATGTTGAGTTCTTCTACTTATTCAGCAAACTGACGAAGAAAAGGGTAGAAGGCTTGCTATCTATTGTTCTCTTTTGCTTTCATTCTCTCTTCACTCTCCCCTGAGAACTGTCTAATCTCCCCTCTCTCTCTCTCTCTTGGTGTTACTTCTGCGAGTGCTCTTTCTGTAAGTCGCAAATCTAACATATCTCTCTACATATATGAATATGTATGTGTCTCTATATATGCGCAACTTGTCTCCAAAAACCCTAGATTAGCACGGCCATGCATGGTTTTTTTTTAATCTATTTGTGTGATTCTAGGGTTTACACTTCATGCTTCATATCTAGGCGTTTTCTCTGATGCGAAATCTTTATCATGACTGAGATATTTTGGGCACTGTGCTTAATTTCTCTTAATCTTTAACTAGTTTTTGGCTAATTAGTTGGTAATTGCACTTACAGGTGAAATCTATGGACCGAAAATTAGGAATTTGCTTCAACATAACCTGATGTGTGCTCTGATTTCTTGAATTTCCGCTTATTTTGAATCTTCCAAAAAGTGCAGATTTAGGGTTTTAAAATTTTATATTTGGCTGCGGTAGCACATTCTGGGCATTGAACTGGGAATGTTGGGTGAAGAGGATACCTCCTCTGGCAGTAGTGGTGATGGTACTGGTAACGGTGGTTCTCGGCGCCCGTGCCAGCTTTCCAACACCCAGAGAACATTTTGNGGTTTGAATGTAATTTAACAGATGATATTGACGACAAAGGTCTAAATTTTATGTTCGTATAAATTTTAGAGAGTCTATATATAATATTTTAAATATCAAAGACCTAAATAATTAAGTGACAAATCTAAAAGGATTTGAGGATAATTCTCCTAAAAAATTATACATAGCAACCAAAACTTTTTTGGATACCATAAAAATATAATTCTCCAAAACAAAAAGAAAAAAAAAAGAAGAAACAGTAAATATTCACTTTTATGAGGGCGGGACGTTTCACATGACTTCTCATCTCACATGCCCAGAGGAGAGAGACAGAGAGAGACACGCACACACACACACACACAGAAATCTGCAATGTTGAGTTCTTCTACTTATTCAGCAAACTGACGAAGAAAAGGGTAGAAGGCTTGCTATCTATTGTTCTCTTTTGCTTTCATTCTCTCTTCACTCTCCCCTGAGAACTGTCTAATCTCCCCTCTCTCTCTCTCTCTTGGTGTTACTTCTGCGAGTGCTCTTTCTGTAAGTCGCAAATCTAACATATCTCTCTACATATATGAATATGTATGTGTCTCTATATATGCGCAACTTGTCTCCAAAAACCCTAGATTAGCACGGCCATGCATGGTTTTTTTTTAATCTATTTGTGTGATTCTAGGGTTTACACTTCATGCTTCATATCTAGGCGTTTTCTCTGATGCGAAATCTTTATCATGACTGAGATATTTTGGGCACTGTGCTTAATTTCTCTTAATCTTTAACTAGTTTTTGGCTAATTAGTTGGTAATTGCACTTACAGGTGAAATCTATGGACCGAAAATTAGGAATTTGCTTCAACATAACCTGATGTGTGCTCTGATTTCTTGAATTTCCGCTTATTTTGAATCTTCCAAAAAGTGCAGATTTAGGGTTTTAAAATTTTATATTTGGCTGCGGTAGCACATTCTGGGCATTGAACTGGGAATGTTGGGTGAAGAGGATACCTCCTCTGGCAGTAGTGGTGATGGTACTGGTAACGGTGGTTCTCGGCGCCCGTGCCAGCTTTCCAACACCCAGAGAACATTTTGGCGTTCAGCGTCGTGGTCTTCTTCAAGAACTACATTGCCGCCCCTTAACCCTGACAATGACAGAGATAGTGTAGAACCAAATGGGAATAATGGGGGGCACAGTAGGCGATTTCCTGCCCCACTAACTCCTAGATCACAATCTAAGGCTCGGTCATGTTTGCCGCCACTACAACCATTGGCGATTGCTCGCCGGAGTTTAGATGATTGGCCAAAAGCAGGGTCTGATGACATTGGGGAATGGCCCCTTCCTAGTACTCCTAGTGGGAGGGATTTGAACAATGGTGGTGAAAGATTGAAGCTTGATTTGTCTAATATTCAGAGGAATCCAGATAAGAATGGTGGCCTTGTTAAGAGAGAGAAGATTGCTTTCTTTGATAAGGAGTGTTCCAAGGTTGCCGAACACATCTATCTTGGTGGGGACGTAGTTGCAAGAGATAGGAGTATGCTCAAACAGCATAGGATTACACATATTCTTAATTGTGTAGGTTTTGTCTGTCCAGAGTATTTCAAGGCAGATTTTGTGTACAGGACTTTGTGGTTGCAGGATAGTCCCTCAGAAGATATCACTAGTATATTGTATGATGTGTTTGACTACTTTGAAGATGTTAGGGAGCAGGATGGAAGAGTTTTTGTTCATTGTTGTCAAGGCGTTTCTAGGTCCACGTCACTGGTAATTGCTTATCTTATGTGGAGAGAAGGGCAGAGCTTTGATGATGCATTTCAGTTTGTGAAGGCTGCAAGAGGCATTGCTGATCCCAATATGGGTTTTGCATGTCAGCTGTTGCAGTGCCAGAAAAGGGTGCATGCTTTTCCTTTAAGCCCCAGTTCATTACTGAGGATGTATAGAATGGCTCCACACTCTCCCTATGATCCTCTGCATCTTGTTCCAAAAATGTTAAATGATCCTTCCCCTTCTGCTCTGGATTCCAGAGGTGCATTTATTATCCATATACCTTCTGCCATTTATGTTTGGATTGGTAAAAAATGTGATGCCATCATGGAAAGGGATGCCAGGGGAGCTGTTTGCCAGATCGTTCGGTATGAGAAAGTGCAGGGTCCGATAGTTCTGATCGCGGAAGGGGAAGAACCATCATACTTTTGGGATGCTTTTTCTAATCTTCTACCTCTGATGGACAAATCTAGTGATGGAGTTGATGTTGTTGCCTCATCAATTAAGACCTGTCCTGATGAGAGAAAAGTGGATTTATACAATGTTGATTTTGAGATTTTCCAAAAAGCAATTCTGGGAGGTTTTGTGCCACCATTGGCATCATCTGGAGCTGAAGAAACCCTCCTGCCTGCAAGAGAAAGCAATTGGAGTGTGCTGAGGCGGAAGTTTGCTTCTAGCAATATGAAGGAGTTTGTCTCTGCTTCAAAGTTGGGTGTTTCTAGAGTCTACCTGGATTCCAAGTTCACAGTATGTTTAGATAATTCTCTGTCTAAACCCCCTTATTCTTTAACAAATTCTTTGTCATCAGCATCTTCATCATCATCATCGTCACCGTCGTCAGTATCTTTGCTTTCATCAGTATCATCATTGTCTTCATCTTCCTCACCTCCTTATCTCTCTCCTGATTCCATCTCCTCTGATTCAAGCATCGGTTCAAAGTACTTCTCAGATTCCCCTGCAGCATCTCCTTCAGCGGCATCATGTTATGATCCATTATCAGCAACTGTTTCTAGCTTTTCTAGTATGTCCCTTCTCTCTTCGAAAATTTCTCCTCAGTCAATATCTAAGACTTCAAGGTTTATAGATGTCAATTTTACATCACGTTCTTGTTCTCAGTCAGCATCCACAGAGTCTAAAAGAGTTCTTCTTTCTATTGCTGAACGGAGAGGTAGCATGTCAAAGTGTCTTAAACTGCCATTGTTGACAGATGACTTCCGGGTGAAAGATGCCCCCTCAAGTTATGTTGCCAGTGAACTAGATGGTGTTGGCATTGAAAATAATACTTATTCATTAAGTGAAACACATAATACAAAAGATCGTTTAGAGTTGAAAGTGGAGGGATGTTCAAAGGAAGAAAGCAAGTTGTGGGCCTCTTCTGGTAGGTTAGCTAGTGTTGATTCATGTCCTCGAAAATCTGCTTTTCTCAAAACTTCAGATGACCAATGGAGAAACGATCAGCCGACTGCCTTGAATGGAATGGTGGATTGTCGTGCAGCATGTGGCTACAAAGAGCAACTGACAGTACGTCGGTGGCCTACTTTGGAAAAGGTTGCAACTTTTGGTCCGCATGATTTGGATTCCAAATGCGTGTTCATTTTCATCAGTCCATCTCCAGATATAGGCAAAGATGATGATAGGGTTCTTTACTTTTGGGTAGGAGGATCTTTCAGTTGTGACAAATCCAAGATTTACTTACAGAGCAGCAAAGACACAGGTGATATAGAAGAGTTTGACTGGAATCAAGCTAGTTCGGATGTTCTTGCTCAATTGGACCTTCCAGAGGACACTAACATTATGGTATGCATTCCATTTAGGCATCTTGGGTACAGTTTTGTTTTTCTGTTTGATGGTATTGTTTTTAAATGTAGGATTTAGAAATTATGGCTCTTGTATTATATTTCTGTTAAGTGTGCCTATAATACATGATGCAATCGAGGTTTTACCACTAAGAGACTGGCTAAATGATTGAAAATTACTCACCGCCACATATTTCTGGTATGATCAGGCACATGGCAGGGAACTATAATGAACGTTGTAATGGCTCTTTTTTTCTTTTTGACAAGTGAATATGCATTTAAGTCGCCGAAATGGGGGTGCAACTTTGAAACAGATATACTAGGGTAATGTGGGCTCTATAGTCGTTTCTATGCACCTATGCATCAGTAAAGAAAAAATTAACTCTTGGAAAACTATTTATTAAACTCCATGTTTTTATTTTAAGGGAAAATTACAGAAGTTACTGTTTTTAATTGGAAAAAGTACTGGGGCATGAGATATGGAAAATATCTATTCAAATGTGATCTTTAGGACATAATTTTTTTCTTTTATGTGGCTGGATAAGGGGTGGACATAATTTTTTTCTTTTATGTGGCAAATTGTATGTTTCTATATCGGTTGAAGCTTCCACTTTTGTAGTTATGCTGTTACAGGATATCCTTTTTCAGCTAAAATTTGATTCTGATGGGTATATTTGGCAATGGCTCCCTTAGGAGAGACAATAGGAAAAGATGGAGTTTGCAGAAGAATATAAGATCTTTTTTTTTTTTGACTTATTGCCCCTCGTGATTCTGCTTTGTTTTCTTTACTAGTCTGTCCTTGAACCCCCACATCTGAGATATTAAATTATGGTCATCTTCTGCTTTAAATAACTTCTTAATTTTGACCTCCATTTTCTGCAGTATCTGTGGCCATTTAATGTTAAACATCAGTTTTAGTTGAATAGTGGATCTTTGTCTGTTGTGGGTCATGTGACTATCTGCGACGAACTTGTCCCAGAAGTGCTTGGCATGTAATTTACAATCATGTTAACATGTGGAACTAGCTGTTTGGCATCTGTTCTCCTTGGGTGTAAACTAGTGTAATACATGCTATCAAGTGGTGCGGTGTCTTATCAGTTGTAGGCTTTCTAAACGCCATTTGCAATGTTGTAAATGAACAGATTGTCAAGGAAGATGAAGAACCTGAGGAATTTCATAAATTGCTGAGTGCTTTGTATCGCTAACACAATGGACAATATCTTCTCCAATCTTGGTAGCTGAAATCTCTTTCCCAATTTTTCAACTTGCATAACTTGTACACAAATTGGTCAGGCATTCCAGGAAACTTTTCCTGGCAATTTTATGAAGGTACTGAACTATCTGCAGACCATTTATAATACAATTCACTGGTTATTGGAATTTAATTTTTGTTTTTTCCCTGTGATGTGGCAAGTAGTTGGTTAATTGTTGAACCATGGCTTTGTTTGTCCTGATATTCTTGTTGAGTATTCAAAAAACAAACCCTAGGCCTTCTATATAAGTCGGTCCGTGTTTGTTGCATTGTGTGCGCGTTGTCAGAGCAATTTGTGTGTCAATAGTGGTTCTGTCACCTTCAGGGGAATGTGGAGTCCATGTATTTTTTTCTCTTGAGTTCATTTGTATAAATCTTTCTTCTCCTCTCACTGTGAAACAGCTCAGCTTAAACCTTATAACTATTTAAGGCTAGTTAGACGGGTGCTGTTTTAGTGTAGGCAATATTTCGGAGTTTTTCCCAATTCAAACATCTTGTGGGTCATGTTTTATGAACTCTATTTCAGAACACATATTAACTTACTTAGGGTAGCGTATCTTCCGGAGGTTCTACCATGTTATCTTAGTTAAAATACATCATCTTAGCAGAAGCTACTTCTGCTGTCTTCCTGTCCACTGTGAAAAACTATGAATTTGCAGACCTCAATCTCTTACTGGTAAGTGCTATCTAGCAAGGACATGAATGTCCTCTAGTTGTTTCTAGCCTTTTTGGTACCTCTCCACCTCTTCAGCTGGCAAATACAGTTAGGTTATTGTTGTTCTGGTCATTGCTGGTCTATCAAGCTTGTGGATGATTAAGCCAGCTTGTTCTGGTTTATATAAATCTTTTTTTTTTCCCCTTTCTTTTTCCTTATATTTGGATTTTCTTTTGCAGGAGGCTGCTTTGGGAGCTGTCGGCCGCGGTTCAAATGGTTGTACAGCATTGTGACACCCTCATATCCTTAACGATTGGTCTGACTGACCAAGTCTATTTGTATATTAGCTATAATCGATTACAAACTGATTTAGTGACAATTCCTAACAAATATGATACATTGAAAGTTCCCTTCCCCTTGTGTGACTTGTGCATGTTTGATGAATGGAAATTAGTATCACAGTAGCAGCCAGCTGAAGTCTATAACGGGCCATTGATATGGGAGTGATGCCCAATATTACTTTGCCACGTGCTCCTCGGTCCACGAAAATGAGGCAGGCACAACGCTATACAAAAGAGTCTAATTTGTTTTCACAGCCTGTTTCAATGTCGTTCTTGTGATTTATGTGATGATACGCATTCAAATGGACATCAATTACACTTACTCTTTTTTTTTTTTTTTTTTT